ATCATCGGCATCTTCTGGGACATCCAAATAAGGGTCTCAATTGATGCAAATCTATGTTGACACCCTTTTGTCCGTCATTCCCCAAAAGTTGCAAACAAAAATCTGATGGATTTTCTTCACTGTCAACTATTGGTTTTCCAGTAATAAGAAGTCAGGTGATATAGAAAATGTGTTCGAATGTAATTCGGTTATTTACCAAACCAAATCGTATATTCAGTTCGTTAAACGGTATGAAATGTTACCGTACCAAAATTTCGGTTCGGTTTTACCGATTTGGCATTCCTAAATTTATCTCTGGAGGGGTATTTTCGTAAGCTAATACATAGTTGGGGGGGGGGGGATGGGATTTCGTAATTTGATCATAACTCAGGGGGTGGTCGTAATTTGCCCTAATTATATAAATGAAATAAATGCCGGAACTTTGTCGTGGTGGCCTCCATTCCGAGTCCGCTATGCCCGTTCCGGCCAGTGAACCATGGCCAAAGAAGATGGTGGATAGATGTAAAATAACAATTATGTACGTTAATGATAGAACTGCCCCTCCTAGATACCCGGTTTCTATTTAAAAGTTGGCTATTGGGGCAACGTGCAACTAATTATATATTTCGAAGAGGAAAGTTCTATTTTTTATATTTATAGGGGGTTTAGTGCTAAAACCTAAAATTTCAAGGGGGTGAACTGTTATTTTCCCTATTTGAATATGTAATTATGATCAACTGAATGTAAGATTAATATTTTTCTCAAAAAAAATATTAATTAAAATTATATAAATAAAATAATATAAGAACAAAATTATGTATAATAAGAGAGGTAATTCAGTCATTTAAAAATAATTGCAGTGATGTAATGAAAATCGAAATCAAACACTATTAATCTATTGGGAGAAAAGAAATCCAAAATTTAATAACAAACACCTTATAATTAATAGTTTATTTTTTTTATAGGGAGTGTCAGGGGCGAGTTCACCCTTAATTGATAATTTATCCTATGTATACATATATATTTATTTAGTCCACCCAATTTTTATTAATTAGTCTACCGAAAATTCAAATTAATACAAAATAAAAGCCCTAATTTTTTTTCCCTATTTTCTAATTTTGTCACAAAATAAAATCCTAAAAAACTTTCTGGGGCCGCTGCTCTTAACCCTGGCAAATTTAAATCCAATCTTTAACAAATTCATGAACTCGCCACTGAAGAGTGTTATTTTATCTACATTAATCCTATCTTAGCAATCAAACGAGAACTTAGAAGATACAAACTGAATGGCGAAGAGCAATGGTGCCAAACTACGTGCCACATAATGCATGTCCAAAAGTAGATCTATATGCATGGTTTTTTGTTAAGTATTAATTCAGTATCTTTCATTACCTAATTGATATTAGCTGGCTAGTCCAATCATAGATGCACCATGTATTTTGTTATTGATTTCTAAGGTTTATTAGAATATAATTAGGTTTTATTTTACATTAGAAATCTACAGTGTTTTCTAATCCTAGCAGCCGCAGTCTATCTAGATATTGTTTTTTATAAACTAATTTATTTTTATAATTGTGTTAATTAAATAGGGTAAACTATAACCAACTCCTGAGGTATGGTTAAATTACGAAAAATACTCTTATGTTTAGATAATTACAACAATTCTCCTCAACTATGAATCTTTTTACACGTTTATTCTTATAGTGTCAAATGCAAAATAATCTTTTAGATTTCATTGAATGTTCTCTAGTTTGTACTCGTTTTGTGCAAAAATACAGTTTCTAATGCACCACAATCCGATATATACAAACCAAAAAATACATCTTATGATCATCTAACTTCAAAATGTGGAGCTCGAACGGGATAAAACGGGTACAAAATTTAGAATATTTCATATAATCTAGACGATTTCACTAAATTTTACACCGCAAGGGTGGACGTGTAAGAAGATTTACAGTTGAGGGGTCGTTGTAATTACCCAAGTAAAAGGGAGGTTTTCATAATTTGACCATACCTCAGGGGTGATTGTAATTTATCCAATTAAATATCATAAGAAAAATAGTTTGTTCTAAGCACTAATCAAAATATATTTAAAAGAACATTCCATTATCTAGCACTACAAGAAAAACGACTTTCAACAACATATGTTTAACAAGGTGCGACAAAAGTATGTTGTTATTTATCATGTATTACAATGCGCGTTTAATGCGTGTTGTTCTTAACGACAGTTGAATATATATTACAACATTCCAATTTTGCCTGTTATTAAATTTACATACCACAAAGTTCATCCGCATCTTGTCAAATTATACACTATTTACAACACACGTCGTGTGTTGTCATTATTTATCACGTACTACAACCTGCATTCGCACCTTGTAAAATTTATTCAAATTTTATCCAACCAAAGTTTAAAGACTTTTAATTTCCCTCTTCTCGTTTTGCTTTGACTCTTGTTCTTTTTCCCCTTATTTTCCTTTTCTATTTTCACTCTTCTTATTTTACTTTCCCTCTTTTTCCTTTTTTCCTTTTCTTTTCCTCTTTCATTTTCCTTTTCTTATTCACGCATTTATTTGAAACCCTAACTGAGACCCACTATCTCTTTTATCTTGCTCCGGCTTTCGTCTCCACCCCTATCGGCCAGCGTTTCATATATAGTCGCCTCTACCACCGCCAGCCTCTCCATCGTTTCAGGTAAAGTATATGTGTTCCGGTCTGTAAATTGAGATCTACAATTGATTGGGTCGTTTTATCTCCTCCGCTTAAATTCAATTTCTTTAATATTTTGTTCTCAAAATGAATTGAATTGATTTTATTGTATTCGTTTCTTGAAATCAGGCTTCTCATAGAATTTGTCGGAGAAACTATTGACAGTTGTCCATCCTCGTGTGAGGTCGATGTCATTTGTTTGCAGTCATATAGAATTATGATAATTTCATATCCCAGGTACTTGATTTTAAATTGCAGGACAAGATATATCAATATCAATGTATCATTTAATTTGAGGGAAAGTTAATTGTTTGTTCTCCTTATTCAAAGGCAGCCGATTTGGAACAGAATTATAAATTTTAGCGGAAAGATTGGTTTATTGCATTGAGGCATCATTTGAAGAAGTCTATTATTATGTATATGTGAGTTTTTTGTTGTACATATTTTTATTTGATTCCTAGCTGTATTTTTTTTCATTGGTTTCGTCGTCTTTGATTGTATTTTTTCTCTTCAGTTTGCAATATTAATATTGGAAATCTTTCTCATTTCCCTCCACGTGTCGTTATACGACGAAAACGCAACGTCGAGGCCGTTGTAGGACAACCTCTGGAGGCTAACGAGAGCCGGCCTCCCGGAAAATACGACATCATGGGATTTCATGATTTCTGACACCACATTTGACGACGAAATCACGAGCACCGGTCTGCATCCAAATTTCATCGACATGAGTGGACTGTATTGCTTGGAGAGGTGATATAGGTACTTGTGGAGGTTTTGGCCATCAAATTGATGCAAATTCCCAATTAAGGGCAACCCTCGTGGCCCGGGTGGGTTGTGTTTTTCGGTACGCGGCTTCGTTGCATGTTTTTGGAAATTATAGAGGATGACGAATATTATGTGTAGGGCTAAAAGAACAAGATTTATTAGTGGCAACATCTTCTTTAATTTGCTTGTTTAGGATTCTTGGGAGGGCATATACAATGTTCATTATATAGTTGGAGTTTGGTGACGAATATTTCGTTTCTATCGTTTGGTGACTAATTAAATAACTAATTGAGTTATTTTCGAAAACACTGTGCTTTAGAACTTCTTTAACTATTTATAGTTAGGGTAAATAGCATTTGCCGCCCCTGGTTATAAGTTTTTGTAGATGCCTCCCTTGTGCTCGTAATATCCTCTTATGGTTGATAGGGGTAGCTTCCGTTAGTTTTTCTGTCAAAATTAATTTTGCGTGTAAACGTCAAAATACCATATTTTGCGGATGACCCTCTTGTGCTTACATTCTCCCTTTAATTTTTGCAGATGAACCAGTTGAAGTTTGACAAAAAAAACTAACGAACACTACCTCTATCAACCAAAAGGGGTTATGCGTTGATATTACAAACACAAGAGGGTCAGCTGCAGAAACTTGTAACCACAGGGAATTAAGTGCTATTTACGCTTATATTTACTCGTAGCATATTTTTAAACCATTCATATATGACTGGCGAGCATATGAGTATACAAAAAGTTGCCTTTTCTAAGGGGTAACCAAGTCGGTGAAGCAAGTGAGCGCGGTCTCATTTAATACGAGTTCGAATTTTCTCCTCAAACAGGTTTCTAGGTCGACCACGTCATATATACATGGTTAAATACTTAAAGTAGCGTAGTTTTCATCTCTCGTGTGCTTTGCATGGTATTGCACGAGGACTGAATATAAGTTCGGGGGTTGCGGGATAAAAAATATAAAAATAAAATAAGAGTGTAACGTCAAAAAGTGATAAAAAAGATTAAATTAAAAAAAAAAAAAAAGCAAAAGTTTTATAATTTAGCAAATTGTCCCCATAAATTTCCCCTCAAAATCACAAACTACTACTTTTATGAAAAAAAAAATTGCAAAAACAACTTTAACGAATAAAAAATAAGTGTTGAATTTTAATTGGCGCAAATAGGTATTGATGTGAAATGTCATTCAAGAATAAACACACAGATTGCGTACTATTTTGTGGACAATACTGCTTTACATATGCATGTGGTCGAGAAGATCTAGTTACAGGGTGGACTAATTATTTTTCGGGGGTTCGGGGACAGCGCCTCTGAGAAAAATTAGCACTTTTTTTTACAAAATTAGAAGTTTTTTTGAAAATTGGATAAGAAAAGAGAAAAATTTAGGACTTTCTTACATTAATATAGATATTAGGTAGACTAAAAAAATATATAGATATAATATAGTGTAAAAGAAATTAATTAAGCGCGGACTTGAGTCCACCCTTGCCTAAGAGTCGACTCGCTCCTGATATACACACACATATTCCAAAATATTTTGATAAATATTAAATCATTTTCTTCATCCCTCGAGATCTCAGAGAACACTGTTTTTTAATTTTCCTTCGTTGCAGAATATAATAGCCGCCGGAACAGATATAACTTCAATTGTTTTAGTTTGGGCACTAACTGCCCTCGTAAAGAACCCTTTGATCATGAAGAAAGTGCAAGGAGAGATAAGGCAATATTTATTACGAGGCCGAAAGAAAGATTTTGTCGACGAAGATGACATTGCGAAACTTCCCTATTTCCGGGCAGTTATGAAGGAGAGTTTCCGGTTATATCCACCCGGTCCACTTCTAGTCCCGAGAGAGACGATTAAGAAATGCCTTATATACGGTTATGAAATTGAAGCCGGGACTTTGGTGTACTTCAATGCATGGGCTATTGGAAGAGACCCCGCGGTTTGGAAAAACCCGAACGATTTCATCCCGGAGAGATTCTTGGAGAACGACATAGACGTCAAGGGAAGGAACCCGGAGGTGATTCCGTTCGGGATAGGGCGTCGACAATGCCCCGGGATGTCGTTAGGGTTGGCGAAAGTTGAGCTTGCGTTCGCAAATCTTTTGTACAAATTCGATTGGGAATTGCCCCTGGGAATGAAGGAAGGCGATATAGATTTCGACGAGCTTCCCGGAATGACAATGCATAAGAAAAATGCACTTTGCCTTGTTGCCAAGGTTGTCCATGGCTAATATATATGTGTGGTTGTGTTGTGTAATCTTATTAAATAAAAAATGGATAAAATACGATTTTCATCCTTCAAGTTAGCACTGTTTTCACATTTAGTCCCTCGTGTTTTAAAAATTCAACACTTTTAGTCATTTCCGTCAACTTTTCGTTAATACTAACAGAATCAAGTATATGTCCATCATTTCCTTAATCGGCGAATTAACGATAAATTGACGGAAATGACAAAAAATGTTAAATTACTGAAAGATGAGGGACCAAGTGTGTTTTTTTGTGAACATGGAGAACCAAATGTGTAATCAGTCACTATATATATATTATGGTGTTTGTTTAATTTTGTTCCGACTAACATTAGTATCACAAATATCATCATTAAAACAGGCGATGATTGTATTTCAATCGGGTCCGGGACTAGAAATTTGTGGTTGGAGAAAATACAGTGTGGCCCGGGACACGGAGTCAGAAAAAAAGAAAAAAAAAATTGCCCTGAATCTTATTTGTATTTTTTTAATACTAATTGCATATATCATAAAACTTGCATTAATTTCATTTAAAAAAAATCAGTATAGGGATTTTGGGTCGAGATTTTATTGAAGATGGTGTCGAAAAATGTGAGTATGTGAAATTGATAAATTCAAATTTTAACGGGCTGGATAATGGGCCGCGGATAAAAACACGGGCCAGGCCCAGCATTGGGTTTGCACGAAACATTTAGTTATCGAAACATCGTTCCGATTATTATCGACCATAACTATTTTATGAATAACCAAGATTGTCCTGTCCAGGTAATCACCATTACATTTTTTTTTCTCTCACTCTAATAATGCAAATACAATTAAATAAAAGATTTTTAATTTTATAACTTATAGTTATTTTTTTTATAATTAAGATCGTTTGACAATATACTTGATTATTGACATGTATCCTACACACTCATATTTTTTTTTTTTTTGGAGCTTATATAAATTTGTATGGTTTATATATTTTGTTGGACAAAATGTATAATTATTAAAATTCCTTATTCGGATATAACAAATAAGACAAAATGGCGAGCTTACCAATTTAGATAAAATGTGGGGTCCACCCATCGCTGTTTGGTTTCATGGGTGAGGACCGCCTTATCTTTTAGGAGACAATTGGCCTTGTTTAGATAGAAGTATGCTTCTACTTCATGTTATTTAACCCACAAAATAAATATATCCATTTAAATTTCAAATTATTTTCTTAAATTAAGTCGAATACATCTATTAATTCAAAATATTAAAATTAAGTTGAATAAATTTCTATTTTACATATTGTAACTGAATAAATGTGTTCTGACGTAATTTAAGAAAATAATATGAAATTTAAAAGAATAAATTAATTCTGCATAAATCCCCTTGTATTGTAGAAAATATGCACTAAATTCCCCTCTGCTATGAAAAAAATGCATAAAATTCCCTTTGTAGTTAACGACGTTAACTTATAACGGAAAAGAGGATTTCGTGCAAAGTAAAAATAAAATATAAGGAGGTTTTATGCAAGAAAAAATAAATAAATGGAGATTTGACCGAAGTTTTCCATAACACAAGAGGGCTACCGACAAACGTAATTGAGAGAGAATATGATTTATCGTGACACAATAGTCAATATAATTGATTATTAACATGTTTACCTTAGATGTATTGATATTGGAGTATTCCCAACCATACATACACATATTGAAGTTGATGGGGCTTTATTTGAGCTGTCCAATTTATTTGGTGGAGATGAATTCATATGCAGATAAAATTTAGGGTATATTGCAACCACACCTCTAAGGTATGCTTAAATAACTTTAAGATCCCTGCGGTATCGATAATTACTGTCACCCCTTGAAACATAGTTAGAAAATCTAATTGGATGCATTGGATTTGTTATTCCTATACAATTAGGGGATTGCATGGCTCTCCAACACTTCTTAAAATCACCCATAGTTGGCTCTTTATTGTCTCTACCACTTCCTGAAAAATTTAAGTCACGTGTAATAAATTACCAGCATCGTCATGTGACGAGCATGAAATTACGTGTAATAAATTACGTGTAGACCGGCATATGTGCACGTCCGTATCTTGGCCACACGTCCCATTCCTATCCACATTAAATATATAAGGTGTATAAATATCTGCGCAATTATTTTTAAATATTTATTTCATATCTATATAAATAAACTTATGTATGTATAACAAGTAGGGCAAATTGCACGTCTCCCCTTATAAATTTCTAATTTTCGTACTTTACTCTTAAAATTTGGAAATGTTAATACCCCTTCAAAACGTTATTCTTATTGTATATTATCCCGATAGTAAAAATTCCGATGGATTATTTACTGGAATTGAGTGTTTTTGTTTCATGTTGTTCCTTTAAATGTTATTTTTGTTGCATCTTGCCCTTAAAACATTATTTTTTCTGCACGTTGTCCATTTCAAATGTTTTATTTGTTTCACCATATGCAGCGCAAAAATTGAAGTACATCCAAAATAATATTAAAGGGGGTTATCCAATTTTTCAATTTTTAAGGGGGAATGTGCGAAAATGAAAAATTTATAGTGGACAACTACATTTTGTCCTAACAAGTATGATAAATAGCTAGGCATATCTAGAAATAACACACCAACCTTCACAAATCAACAATGAATATTCTTCTATTATCAATCTCTCTTCCAATAATCTTGATTATTTACCTTCTCCTAAAAAACAAAAACTCAATCAAAACCCTAGTTCCACCAGGTCCAGCGCCGCTACCCTTGATCGGAAACCTCCATCAAATTGGTGCAGCCAAAGATCCACATATTTATCTATGGCAACTCTCCAAAAAATATGGCCCACTTATCCACATGAAATTGGGATCCATCCCACTAATTGTGATTTCTTCAGCCAAATTAGCAAAACAAGCACTAAAAAAACAAGATTTGGCGTTTTCGAGTCGGCCGGAATCCACAGGGAGTCGGAAAATTACGTACAACTGCGCGGACATTGTGTTTTCACCGTACGGCGAGTACTGGAGGGAGCTTCGAAAAATCACAACCATTCATCTCTTTAGCCTTAAAAAGAGCCAATCCTTTCGCCCCATTCGAGAAGATGAAATCTATCGCGTAGTCGAAAAGATTTCGGATTTCGCTTCTTCGAGTCAAGCCGTTGACTTGAGTGAGGTGTCAATGGCTCTTAGCAGCAACTTGATATGCAGGATAGCTTTCGGCAAGCATTATTATAATTACGAAAAAGGGTCCGAGATTCGAAGGTTCGACGAGCTTCTGCATGATGCTCAAGCCACGTTGGTTGCTTTCTTTGTGTCGGATTACTTTCCTATGTTTGGTTGGGTTGATAAAATGACGGGATTGATTAATCGGCTCGATAAAACTTTCGAGAACTTGGATTCGTTTTATCAGGAGATTATCGACGAGCGTCTTCTTGATCCGACGAGGGCAAAAAAGAAGGAGGAGGATTATGATATTCTTGATACATTAATCCAACTTAAAGAAGAAAAGTCATCTTCTGTTGAACTCAGCTGGGACAACATCAAAGCAGTCCTAACGGTATGTTCAATATTATTTTGTTTATATACATAGTATGCACTTATTGCATTTACTATCCATGTGAAAATTGCAATTAAATGTTTTCCCCCTCATAAAAAAAAAATAGCAAATACCCCCTGTATTCATTAGTCAAACGTGAAAACCCTCCCTCCTTGCAAATCATGCGTCTCACTCGGGCTCTGCATGAAATGACAAAATTGCCCCCGGCATCTTTTCTTTTTTTCTTTTTCCTTTTTAACAAGTTTTTTTTTTCTTTTAATATATATTTTTTGCATTTTCTTTCATTTAAATTTATTAAATTATAGATATTTATAAAGCAATATTTGGTACTTGCAAAAAAACATGAAATATTGAAATGCATAATATTATATAAACATTATGTATTTTTCAGAAAATTACAATTCAGTCCCCTGACTTATTTGATTAAGTTTTCCAAAACTTCAATTTGGCCCCCTGGTTTTTTGCAAAACCCTGGGTACTTTCAGGTCTTTATGCTGTCTAAAAATAAATAAAGGGAATTGTTGCTATAAAAAAAATTATGACTGGGGATTTTATGACCGGGGGAAAACGCACAGTTGTGATTATCACATGGGTAATAAATGCAATAAGCTCTATATAAAATATATATGTTTATCTTACAACAATTACTCTACGTATACATTTATTGTTTTCTCTCTCTAGGATATATTCATAGCTGCAACGGATACGAGTGCAGCGGCGACGGTGTGGACCATGACAGCTTTAATGAAAGCACCAAATAATGTTATGCAAAAAGTTCAATCGGAGATCAGAAATTCGGTAGGCGAAAAGGGTAGAGTAGACGAAGACGATTTGCCAAAGCTTCCCTACCTAAAAGCGGTTATAAACGAGACTTTCCGATTGTACCTAGACAAACAATCGAGAAATGCAATCTCGAGGGATACGAAATTCAACCGAAAACATTGGTTTATATTAACGCGTGGGCGATTGCACGAGATCCCGAGTATTGGGAAAATCCATTTGAATTCTTGCCCGAGAGATTCTTGAATAGCAATATCGACATTACCGGGCATGATTTTGGGGTGATTCCATTCGGGTCGGGTCGGAGAATCTGCCCCGGGATGTATATGGGTCTTGCGAATGTGGAGCTCACCGTTGCGAATCTTTTGTACTCTTTCGACTGGGAGTTGCCGTCTGGGATTCGAGCACAAGATATTGATACAGATGTTTTGCCTGGAGTTACGATGCATAAGAAAAATGCACTTCGCCTCGTACCAACGAAATACAGTAGAACTTCGATAAATTAATAACCTCGATTAAATAATAATTTCTTCTCGTCGAGTTTCAGTGAAAATGTACTCAATTATTAGTTCCATGATTTAGTATTTTGCTAGTTAATAGAATTTTGCTTGTACTCACTGCATTAATTCATTGAGGTTTAAATGTACAGTTAAACCTCTATAAATTCATACATATAAATTCATACAGTCGAAACTAGGAAAATTCTATTAATTTAGCGAATTATTAAATTATCGAGTTAATAATTTAATATGTTTTCACCAAGTCAAGCTCGAGAGAAACTATTATTTAATCGAGGTTATTAATTTATCGAGTATTAATTTATCGAGGTTCTAGTGTATATTGTTTAGATATTCGTATTAGCTTGTATTTGGTGAAAATAATAATTTGTATTTTCTAGAAAGACAATTCATCGCCACACAATTTTATATAATTCTATAAGTGCCCAAAGATTTTTGTGGTGATATTAATTTTGTACAATGACATTGCTCTTTCCTTTGCAACTAATGTTTTTTGGGAAGAAAAATCAACAAAACTATCATTTAATGGTCCCTCTCCCACCAACTAACTGGTCAACTCTTTTACGTACACACTTTGGAAACTTCTCCTACTTCTAAGGTGATGTTTGCAAAAGCCAAAAACTTTTATAAATTGATTATAAGTTTCTTTTTTTTCATAATTTATTTTTAAATGTTTGAAAAGTAAACTTTTAGTTCCATTATTCTTAAAATAAACAACTTTAAGCTATAATTTTGTTAAGCACCTACGACCCTGTCTTTTGTTTAAGTTTATTTTTCAGTAAACTTGCAAACACCCCCAACTTTTAGAAATAAACACTCAAAACTAACTTAACTCACAATCAATAATTTCTGCTTTTAAATTGCTATAAAAAAATAAACATAACAAATATTTTTAGGGTAAATTACACCTACACCCCTGGGATACACTAAAAAAACTTTAAAGTCCATATAGTATCGGTAATTACAATCACCCCTGACACATTGTTAGAAACTCTAACAGAATAATGCATTGAATAAGTTATTCCATAGTTTTCAGCAGTGGTGGAGACAACATAGAGCTAGAGGGTGACATGGCTCTCCTAGTATTTCTAAAATCCTTATTGTTTTATATAAGATTTATAAATTTTTGTCTGTGGTAGCTAGCATTAACGGCCCCGATGGAAACAAATATAATGCATATCGGTCCCCAGGACATGAAATCGTGGCTCAGATAATTGTTTCATGGGTGTGGCTGTAATTAGCAATAAATACCACAAGGACCTTAAAGTTATTTTAGCATACATCAGGGGTGTAGTAGTAATTTACCCTATTTTTATGAAAATAAAAGTCGGTCGGTCAACAAGAGAAGAATCAAGAAAAGTCAAATATGACGACAAAAGCTTCCAATTTACACTTCCGTTGAATGCATTGAGGATTTCCCACTTTCCATGATCACCCTATAAATTCATTCTCACACCAATTTCATTTAATTCAAACCCATCGTTCAAGAAAGAAAAAAAAAACGCACAAACACGCACTGAAAAGAGAGAGAAAAAAAAACCAGAAAAATCAGTAGAAATGGGGAGTAATAATAAGCAGGTGATTTTGAAAAGCTACGTGAATGGTTCTCCAAAGGAATCCGATATGGAGCTGAAAGCATCAACGATTGAGCTGAAAATTCCAGAAGGATGCAACGACGCCGTTTTGGTGAAGAATCTGTACTTGTCGTGTGATCCTTATATGCTTGGCCGTATGAAGAAACTCGATGGCCATTACGTCGATTCGCTTACCCTAGGCGCTGTAAGTTGTTTCTCTCTCTCTCTCTCTCTAAAATTCTGAGTTGTTTCTCTCTCTAAAAATTGTGGTGGGTTTGTTCTTTTGTTTTCTTGTGGGTGGGAAATTGCTCTGCGTTTTGTGAAATTGAGGTACAAGTAGTTGATGCAGTAGGAAATTGAGGTGTTGTACTTTTGTTGTTGTTGTAACTTGTAAGTTGTAACTTGTAAGGCGAAAATACAGTTTTCATCTTTCATCCCTCAAGTTTGCACCGATTTCACATTTGGTCCCATATTTTCACAAAAAAATATATTTGGTCTCTTATGTTTCAAAAATTCAATATTTTTAGTCATTTCCGTCAATCTCCCGTTAAAACTAACGGACTAACGGTAAATTGATGGAAATGACCAAAAGTGTTAAATTATAGGAACATGAGGGACCAAATGTGTTTTTTGTGAACATGGGACGAAATATGAAATTGGTGCAAACTTGAGGGCTGAAAACTGTATTTTTTTTCGGTTGTTGTATTGTATGCTGCGGTTGATTCAGCTTTGTTTCTTTCTGCAACTTTGAAATATTTAAAATGGGTGGTGGTGGGATTCGAACTCGATCATAACCTTTCATTTGGCCTGACTCTATACCACGTTGAATGACCATCTGAACCAATAGCTGAAGTTGGTAGCGAAATGTATCATTTAATATTAATATCTCCAATATTTTTGCGATTCGCAGTTATTTTAGTGTGTAACTTTTTCCGTAAATGATGGAAAATTTACAGTTTTCATCCCTCAAGTATGTAACTATTTCACATTTAATCCACATTTTCACAGAAAACGCATTTGGTCCCCCATATTTCAATAATTTGACATTTTTGGTCATTTTCGTCAATTTACCGTTAGTTCGTTAGTTAAGGCAGTGATGGGCACACGCTTGATTCCGTTAGTCTTAATGGAAAATTGACGGAAATGACTAAAAGTGTTGAATTTTTGAACCATAAAGGATCAAACGTATTTTTTGTGAAGAAGCGGGACCAAATGTGAAATTGGTGCAAACTTGAGGGATGAAAACTGTATTTTTCCCGTAAATGATAATGTGTTGTTAAATGATGACATATTTTCTGTAAATATCAAGTTCGTAGCTTTTGGTTGATGCAATGAAATGTTCGAAGCAGAGGATATGCATAATTATGTCATGAATTTACTCTTTTTAATCGAATAAGATACTCAACAAGCAAGGGGGTCGATAAAGGGTCTATGTGTGCGTAGGCTAGATTATTCGGGAGTACCGTTTTCGATCACTTTAAAAAACCGAATAATAGAAAGTTTTCGTGTGAACATCTTTGTACTATTTGCTAACCTTGTTATGTATTTTTTCGTGTGTGACAGCCTATTATTGGATATGGAGTATCGAGAGTAATGGAATCTTCTCATCCGGACTACGAGAAAGACGACCTTCTTTGGGGCTTCGTTGGATGGGAAGAGTACACCCTTATAACCAATTTGACCACTTGCTTTAAAAATCCAACACAAAGACGTTCCTCTCTCTTACTATACCGGACTTCTTGGTAAATTACTACATTGCCCTTTCAACGAGATAAATGAACGCTCAATTCATCATTGCATTTTTCGCTAATTACCATTGAAATCGATTTTACAAAAAAATAAATAAATAAATAAAAATTAATCGATTTTACAAAATAAAATGAAAAAATGAGTTCCATTATTGATATTCTTATGTCAATTTGTAGCTGGGTTTGACGGGATTCGTCTTTCTTGTTTCAGGTATGGCTGGTATGACGGCTTATGCTGGATTTTTCGAGCTTTGCACTCCGAAAAAGGGAGAAACCGTTTTCATTTCCGCTGCATCGGGAGCAGTTGGTCAACTCGTCGGTCAATTTGCAAAGTTAATGGGATGTTATGTCGTTGGAAGTGCTGGGTCCAAAGACAAGGTTAGTGTCGTAATTATGTCAACAATATTAATGTTTTTCTACAATTCATTTTATTTGATTCACAATAATAATGTCTTTATAATAAATGAAAGTTTTTGGTTTATTTTGTTTCCGGTTCCGTTTATTAACTTCTATTCATTTATCTCAATGAAGGTTGATCTCCTGAAGAACAAATTTGGATTTGATAACGCGTTTAACTACAAAGAAGAGTCGGATTACAACGTCGCTTTGAAAAGGTGAGTTTTTCAAATTTCAGTAATTTTGCTTCTTTCAAATCCAATAAAAAATCATATTTGGGGGTGGAAATTGGAACGGAATTTCCAATTTCCTCCAATTTTCGATTTCGAAACAATATTTTTCATTACAAATTCCGAAAATTCCGATTCCTATTGTTTGTTATTTTTTTTAATAATTAGAATATATATGAGATTCCGATTTCCGATCATATTCTAATTTTCGAAAAAGATACAAAAATTCCAAAATTAATCAAACTTAATTGGAATTAGCTTTTAGCCTAATTTTTCCGAAAGTGTTGATTTTGATCCGATCCATCCTATTTCCACCCCTAATCAAAATTAATCACATCTAAATCTCATTTATCTATTTAGATATTTCCCGGATGGAATCGACATCTATTTCGAGAACGTGGGAGGAAAGATGCTTGAAGCGGTACTCAACAACATGAGAATCCACGGCCGAATCGCAGTGTGTGGGATGATCTCGCAGTACAGCCTGGCGCAGCCAGATGGGGTCCACAACTTGTTCAATCTCATATCGAAAAGGATAAAAATGGAAGGATTTCTCGTCATGGAATATTACCATCTTTACCCGAAATTCATCGAGATGGTTCTTCCTCACATCAAGAAAGGAGATATTACTTACGTCGAAGACTTTGCTGAAGGCCTTGAAAACGCGGCATCGGCTCTATTGGGTCTGTTCTCGGGGCGTAATGTTGGAAAGCAAGTTGTTGTCGTTGCTCGTGAGTAGATGTATATATATAGTATGTATGTATGTATGTATCATGTTTGTGTGAGTAGAGTCTTTGGCAACTTCATTTATTTGAACAGTAAACTTTGTACTTTTTTTCTGCCTATATTTTTTTTTTAACTTATTATTGACGAATGTAATTCATTAAATGATAAAGGCCAAATCTCAGTAATAATCCATCGTCTAAGTATTTTTCTCCCACTTTAGTTCCTCGTGTCCCTATTGTCTCATTATCATCTTTCGATTACACAGTTTATTTCAATATAGTTATTCGATGTAAAATTTAGTTAACTTTAACGGAATCTTTTATTTGTTGGATGAAACATTCTATTCTTATAATTATTTGTGGGATAATTCCAGTTTTGGTCCCTATATTATAGGGAAAATTGTAATTTTGGTCCTGTATGTTGGCCTCTTTAGAGATTTAGTCCTATAAGTAGTCTTATTTCAATTTTACATGCAGTAATTATGCAAAATTAGTATTTTTAGTCCTATTTCACTCGAATTTTGAATTTAGTGGTCGTTCAATGATGTACTGAACAAACTCACATAAATTTATTTATATGGACACTTCAAAATTATAAATGCTCTTCTAATTTGATTTATAGATGTGTCGTCTGATATACTTAAAGTTCTACCAATGTTAAATTAGATGTCGAATTTATTGATTTCCAAGCGTCAATATATATAAGTAAATTGCGCCAAGTTTATTTGTTGCGTTATAAAATTAAAATCATGCAGAATAGGACTAAAAATACTATATTTGCAAAGTTATTGCATGTAACATTAAAACATGACAAGTTAGAGGACTAAATTCCTAAATAGGACAACATAGAGGACCAAACTACAATTTTCCCTATATAATACACCATTTTCAATTTTGGTCAATTAAATTTTTCTGGCACGAAATTGGTCTTCAAATAACCAGTTCTTTTACAATTTTCGTCCACCAGTTTGAAATTACTATTAGTTTGGACTTTGGACAGAAAAGTCACGTGTGAGGCACGTGACAATGCATTTATCAATGGTAAAATTATAGTTTATCAATTTTTTCTAACTTGAAATGTTTTTCTTTTCTTTTTCTATTTTGAGAGAAAAATGACTGAAAGTGTTGAAAATATAATTTGTAATGTTCCTATAATGATTTTTCGAGTAATAACGTTTTACTTTGTAGTAGTCAAGAATTATGTTCAGATTTTTTATAAGTAATTGCCGTAGTAAACTGACGCCCCAATCAAACAGCATCTACGTAGCACTGAAACTTCAACTGTTTAATGTATCCGCATTTCGGACATGTTTCGTGTTAGACACTAGAGGACACTTGTAGAACACCTTATGGTTGATTTTGTAATTTTTTAAAAGTTAAAAGCATGTTTGATAACAAATTTTCAAATATTTCTATTGCATCCCAAATTATTTACATGATTTAACGATCAATTGCAAATTGATAGTTGATGGAATTTTTTTTTTTTTTAATATTTTTGTATAAAAATATATAAAAAGAATTTATATATAAATAAAAACTTATATAACATATTTATAAATATACCCCTATACCTTAATATTTACACGTTTCCCCCAAACTCTCGTTTCCCCATTTTCGGGACATACCGTTTCCCCGTATCCCTGTTTCCGTGTCCGTGCTATATAGTACAACATACCAAAATTGCAAAAAATAGCTTGTTTGAAGACTTAAACAGTGGAAAAACAATGTAAGGGGTAAAATCGATCTTGATCCATAGTATAAGGACCAAAAGTGAAATTACTAATATTTGGGGGGAGAAAAATGCAAATTTTCTTTTTTCAGTATATAATAACCCAAATGAATCTTGTTCCTCGATCGAAAAAAATCAGAACAAAAAAAAAACCAAATGCAATTTTCCCTCCTCCATCGCTTATATAATTCACCCACCCTTCGAATTATTGCTCCTTATTACAGTCGAATCCGTTTCAAGAATATGTCAACCGAAAAACCCAACGGATCGTCGGCAAAAAATCCCATCTCTGCTAATCCAAAAGTTAACCAATTCCAGCAAGTTTTTCACTCGGAATCCACCACCACCAGTGAGTCAACTCAGTATATATTCAATAAATAATTTTTGTTGTTTGTTTACAGAGAGTGGTGTTGTTGTTGTTGTTTTGTCAATTTGCAGATGGTTGGGATAAATGCTGGGAAGAAGAATTAACGCCGTGGGATTTGGGGAGGCCCACCCCTGTTCTTGTGCACCTCCACAACACCGGATCCCTCCCCAAAGGCAGAGCTCTTATTCCTGGCTGCGGCAGTGTGAGTGTTGTACATTCCGCTCTTTCCCTTGTACCCTTTTTTTTTTTGTGTGTGTGTGTGTTTTTTGTGGGTGAATATCTGGAAAAATACAGTTTTGGTCCCTCAAGTTTGTAGCAATTTCATATTTGGTCCCCATGTTCACAAAAAACACATTTGGTCCTTCATATTTAAAAAAAATCAACACTTTTAGCAATTTCCGTCAATTTCCCATCAGTACTGACGGAATCAAGCGTTTTCCCATCACTGCCTTAAATGATGGAGTAACAGTAAATGACGAAAATGACCAAAAGTGTTCAATTATTGAAACATTAGGGACCAAATATGCTTTTTGTAAATATGAAGGACCAAATGTGAAATCAATGCAAACGTGAGAGGTGAAAACTGTAATTTTCCTGGTGAATATTTGTTCCATTGTTTTGGTATTCTGGGCTGTGATCGGTGGGGAAGGGGAAAAATACAGTTTTCATCCCTTAAGTTTGAACGGTGGGGAAGTGATCAAGCTATCGTTTTAGTTGTTGATTGAGGCGAAGTACCTCGTGCATCAACGGTTGTACCTTAATAGAGCTTTATGTGGCACTTTGTTGGATGAGATGCCACATACATTACCTTGCTCTCGAGTTTTGATGGCGTATGAATTTGACCAATGCTAGTTGGTTAGAAAAATAAAGGGTCAATAGCACTTAACCCCCTGTGGTTACAAGCTTTTGCAGATGACCCCCTGTGCTCGTAATATCAGCACATAACCCCCTAATGGTTTATGGGGTAGCTTTCGTTAATTTTTCCTTCAAACTTCAAGGGGTCATTTTCAAAAATGAAAATGAGAAGAAAAACACAAGGGAGTCATCTGAAAAAAAATTACTTTGACGTTTGACACATACAACTAAGTTTGACGGAAAAACTAACGGAAGTTATCCATCAACCACGAGGGGGTTATGTGATGATATTAAAAGCATAAGGGGGTGATCTGCAAAAACTAAGCTTGTAACAATAGGGGATTAACTGATTAAGTGCTATTTACCCAAAAATAAAAGCAGTAGCCCATAAGCAATTGATAAGTTTATTGAATTTGTTAAAATAAATAAAAAGAGCAAATTGCAAATCACCCTTGCAAATTTCTGATTTTCGCACTCTACCCCTTAAAAAAAACACTATTTTTTTGCACGTAGCCCCTTTAAAATGTTGTTTTTGTTGCACAATGCTCTTCAAAAATTGACTTATGGGGCAAAGTGCAACCAAAATAATTTTTCGAAGGGGGAGTATCCCTTTTTTGATTTTTGGGGGGGGGGGGGGGGGGGGGGGGGGGGGAATTGCGAACATGGGAATTTATAGGGGGTTGAAGTGCATTTTGTCCTAAATAAAATATTGTTTAATTAGTTCTATTTATGTTCTCTAATTTTTTTTCTGCTTTCATCTTTTTTTCGATTTCCGTTTTCAATTTATCGACTGGTTAATTAGCTCGGTCATGGGATTGTCTCTTTTGCTGCAGGGTCATGATGTGGTGGCAATTGCATCTAGTGATTTACATGTTGTAGGTCTCGATATTTCCGAAAATGCCATTAAGAAAGCAACGGAAGTAAGATTTTTTTTTATTATTATATATATTTTTTTTGGATGTTTTAAAATTGGTTTATGAATGTGTTCTTTAGTTCGACCAAATTGTTGATTTGGTTATTGCATGACGTGGCAGTTGTGTTCCGAGTCGCCAAAGATGGATCATGTTTCTTTCTTAAAGACGGACTTCTTCACTTGGTGTCCCGCTCAGTTGTTTGATCTCATTTTCGACTATACGTAAGTTTGACTTCATCATATATGTATATAAATTATTTTGCTGAATTTAATATTCATATATTATAATATTGTTTTTACAGATTTTTCTGCGCAATTGAACCCAAGTTAAGATCACTGTGGGCCAGGAAAATGAGCGATCTCCTAAAATCGGATGGGGAGCTCATAACACTAATGTATCCGGTTAGTCGAGTTTTTCTTTTTGTTGTATCTTATTTTAGTTTTTCATTTTCGTACGTTTTACTTATTATAATTTTATGAAACTATTGGATAAAAAATTCTCTACATGAATTTTTTCGAGTTTATTGCACTTAGTTATATGTTATATGGAATTGCTAAAAAACCCCCCATGTTATAAATATTATCAAACACCTCCCTATGATAATTTTTTTTAGCACACAACTCCCTAAATTGTGAGTTTTTAGGTGGTAATTTGCTAATATTTATAACATAGGGAGTTCTTTTGCAAATATTTACCGTTAATGCTGAATTCAATAACTATATTAATAATTGTCCAATAGCAATTTTGTACCAAGAAATATTAATAATTGTAGTCTAGAAAACCTTTTGTTCTCTTTTATGTGTTAAATATTTTATAATAATAATATTTATCATGTCTATTATTTGAAGTATTTATTATTTTTCTGATCGTTGGCACATATATATTCTTGTTGTTGGCAGATAGACGATCACGAGGGTGGGCCCCCGTATAAAGTATCAGTTGCCGAGTAATTTCTCTCGTGAAATATTTCTATATATTTTCCGTATGTTTTTAGTTTCTTAATTGCAAAAATACTAACGATTTATTTATTTATTTGTGTGTAGTTATGAAGAGGTGTTGCATCCTCTCGGTTTTAAAGCTACTCAAATAGTGGACAATGAATTGGCTATTGCTCCTCGAATGGTAAATATTATTTGAATTAAAAAAATGGTGTTTAATATTTGATATTTCGATGTTGTTTTTCTCTTACTTCGGTTGCGAACATCTTACGCCTCGTTTGGATGGGTAGATATGGCATGAATAGGATTAGTTAAATAATGATGTCTTATTTGGTAGTTTATTTACGACATCGAATATTATTAGGGAAATTACAGTTTTCATCCCTCAAGTTTGCACCGATCTCACATTTGGTCCCCATGTTCACAAACTAAACATTTGGTCCCTCATGTTTCAATAATTTAACACTGTTGTCCTTTCCATCAACTTACTGTTAGTCGGATAGTTAAGGCAATGGTATGTACACACTTGATTCCGTTAATACTAACGGAAACTACTAAAAGTGTTTAATTTTTGAAACATAAGGGACCAAATGTGTTTTTCGCAAACATGGGGGACCAAATGTAAAATCGGTGCAAACTTGAGGGATGAAAACTGTATTTTTCCCAATATTATTACATGGTTGTTGAATTTCATGGCAGGGACGAGAGAAACTAGGGAGATGGAAAAGATCTACCAGCCAATCGTCACTGTGACACTCTCAACTGATAATTGTTCGAGCGGTGACAATCGATGCCATGAAGCACATGTACAACAAACTTATTTTCGTGTGTTTTTCGAGAATCATATGAATAATGTTTTGAAAACATTGTTGCAACAAATAATAATCGCTGAAATTATAGTTTTTGTCCCTCAAGTTTGCACCGATTTCACATTTGGTCTCCATGTTCAAAAAAAACACATTTGGTCTCTCATGTTCGAATAATTTAACATTTTTGGTCTTTTCTGTCAAGTCAAGTTATAGTTAGTCTGTTAGTTAAGGCAGTGATAGGCACAAACTTGATTCCGTTAGTTTAAACGGGAAGTTGACGGAAAGGGCTAAAAGTGTTGAATTTTTGCAACGTAAGGGACCAAATATGTTTTTCGTGAACATGGGGGACCAAATGTGAAATTGGTGCAAACTTGAGGGTCAAAAACTGTATTTTTCCCAATAATAATCATATGAGAAACCTCCGTTTTTCTTTGAAATGGTGAAAATCACTTGGCGATTTGATGACATACTCGAACAATCTTGTGAATGCTTTTTGTTGTGAAGTGTTCGAGTCTATGTTGTGTCGTTTCCTGGTTTAGGAAATTTTACGAGCTTGATCTCAGTCTCAACTATTTACATAATTAGCCTTTCTTGGACACCTGGATAAATTAACTATTAGGACCCATTTGGATGGAGGGATTTGGGGAGGGATTTGATTTGGGGAATGGATTTGAAATGACTCCAATTTTGGAGTCATTTGAATCCATCACTATTGCTCCAAAATCAACTAAAAAGGAGGGGTGGGGATTTGAAATCCATCTCCAAATCCCTCAATCCAAACAAGTCCGAGGGATTTGTTATTATGGATTTGAAATCCCTCCCCCAAATCCCTCCATCCAAATACACCCTTACATAATTTTCCAAGTGCAGTTGGCAGAATCTAGAAAACTGATACCTTCGATTTTGTAAGCCGCTTTTCTTATTGCATAGTAGACATCGAGAGCTCTTGTTGTACAACAACGAAATTTGAATCACTACATTTCTAACCATACATGGCATGATTTGAGTCCCAGTCAATCGAAGCAGTTTTGTGTTCAAAGTTGCCCATTCGCACATAGACCAATTATGCATCACAAACCACCGGAAGACCAAAACTCAATATTTTCAAGCTCGAATCGAAGTCAAACTTTTATTGATATACTCACACAAAAATGGGGAAAATACAGTTTTCATCCCTCAAGTTTGTACTAATTTCACATTTGATCCCTCATGTTTAAAAAATTCAGTACTTTTAGTCCGTTCGTCAATTTTCCTTCAGTACTAACGAAATCAAGCGTGTGTACATCATAGTCTTAACTGACGGACTAACGGTAAATTGACGGAAATGACTAAAAGTGTTAAAATATTGAAACATGAGGGACTAAATATGTTTTTTTTTTGTAAACATGGGGACAAATTGTGAAATCAGTGCAATCTTTAGGGATGGAAACTGTAATATTTTCCCACAAAAACTGACAGTAAACTAGTGAAATATGATAGTAAATGAAATCAATATTTCTGTAATGTACAAATTATGATAGTAAGCTTATGAAAATTGCCATTGAAGTTATGGAAATTGGTATCTAACTTCTGAAATTCAGTATTTTAAAAAAATATGGCAGTGACCTTTTACGAATTATATTTTTACAAAGTAAGACAATAATCTAGAATTGGTTGAAAATTGACACCGGACACGTGAAAATTAGATGAAAATACAACAAACTTGTGAAACTAAGTGAATATTTATAATAAACTCTTACAAATTGATCATGAATTTCTAAAATTGGCAGTAAATTTATGAAAAGTGGCAATAAACTTCGATTCGACAGGTCTAGAGAGCTCCCTCACTGTTCATAGGATGTGTCCGCATTGCTCGCAAACACGAACACACCGTTTTCATGGACTCTTGGCGTAAAAGTATAGGGTTACTATTGTAAAACAAAATAGCAAAATGCTTTTCTTGAAAAAAAAACTTTGTAAACATATTTTCTATCTATTTGGGATAATTACATTTTTCGTCCTTATACTTTACCACTTATTCGTTTTTCGTCCCTAAACAAGTTGGAGTGACATTATTCGTCCCTAAACATGCCATTTTTTAGCAGTTTTCGTCCTGCCGTTAATTCTTGCTGTTACTTTGGATGGAAATCTGACGTGGACCTGAAAATCTTAATATATGCTGCTGACATGGACGATTAATCCACGTGCCACTCGCATGTATGCCGCTGTTGATATATATGCTTCGTGAAACCAACTCATATTAACTCTAATTACCCATGCATTGGCACCCAACAAGACTCATCTTTAAACTTTGCTAGAGAGAACGAGCCACCATGCACATTCCATTTCAACTTTGCAGACGAGCCACCACCATGCAATCAGAGACCCATTCCCACCTAATTAAGAGGAAATTCTCAGAATTGAATGTGAACTATACAATTGTTGTATGAATAATATGGGAAAATTACATTTTTCGTCCTCAAACTTTATTGACTTTTTCGATATTGTCCTTAAACATTTTCGAGTTACAATAGTGGTCCCTAATGATGCCATTTTTTAACAAAAGTGATCCACCGTTTAGTTTTTCTGTTAAGTTAACGGAAACTGCACATGTTACTCACATGACTTCTATGTTTCACACAACAAAGAAAAGAAAGGGCTTTTAACAAGGTGCACTGCGTGTTGTTAAAAAAGAAATACAAGAAAAAATGGCTTATCAACAAGAAAAGTCAATATCTTTCTCTCCATAAACCATATGTGCTACATCATGACCACCACCGCCATCTGTGACACTTGTAGCAGACCTTCATCTCCATTCCTAACTCTGGCAAATGGCGGCTCCGACCGGCCTAAAAAATGCCCCATGTATGCCCTAAAGCTAGGCTTATGCATCAATCTACTTGGTCATGATCGGTTGGTTGGAGTTATAATTGGGTTAAACTATTCTTTTGTTTATATATCTCTGTTTGGGAATTACTAAATCTTTAGATTAAAAATTTATTAACATATTTTTTTGGAAATAGAATCCAGGAGAATCCAAGGAATTAAGAATTTGTTCATACAGTTAGTTTGGTAGCTAGGCCTCGCGACTTTCGCCATGTTTCTTACTTTGTATATCCTGCTCCTAAAAATGAAACTTCGAAAGATAAGTGCTCAAATAATGCGTTTTTGCCATTCTCCGTGTCTTGGTAGAACTCCTTGTTCGGTGGAATCCACACAAAAAAAATAATACATGTTCGCGCACCCATGAAACTAAAGCCATACGAAGGTAAACAACGAATATATATTTATGCACCATTAGTTTGTTTAATTTAATGTTTAAGACATCATGTGTGGTTACATTTTGAATATGTTAATGTGTTCATATGTCAAAGAATTCAAGAGGTTTAATGATTTTGTGTGAGGGTCGTTGCTCTCCTTTTTATTTGATTCTCAATTATGTAATTCTCATAAAGAACAAGCGGTCGTGGTTCTTACTTGTGTCTGATGAGTGAAAGAAAATAATAGAAAATAAAGAATAAAAAGTTGTATTTGGAAGGGCTGATTATGGTACGGTGTTGTTTCTCTTTTTTAAATATATTTTTGTAGATTTTGTTGTCTTTTATAGGGAAAATTACATTTTTCGTCCTCATACTTTACCCACTTTTTTAAAATTGTCCCTAAACATTTTGGAGTTACAATAGTAGTCCTTAATCATGCCATTTTTTGACAAAATTGGTCCGCCGTTAATTTTTGCCGTTAAGTTGGATGGAAAATGACATGTGCCTCTCACATGCCTTCAATTTACAACACTACATGAAAATGGACTTTCAACAACACGCATTGCGTCTTGTTAAAACAGATTTTTCATAATTAAAACTTGATTGAAATTCGAAATTATATAAATTCCAAAAAAAAAATCGATATATATTGTTTTAAATTATTTTGAGAAATATTCTTTAAACAATTGAAACATTGTTTTAAAAAATGAAATATTGCTTTCAAAATCATGATTTTCGGAATTCAAATGAAAACATTGTTTCAAAATAAAATAAAAATTCGATCCGAATATATAGGTGGGATAAGAAACCTCCATTTCAATCTTCACCCTAATTTAATAATGTAAAACTCGATAAATTGTTTCAAACTATTTTTAGAAGCATTGTCTAAAATAATAATATAATGTTTTAAAACCGGATTTTCTTGAATCCAAATGAAAATTATTTTTTTTAAAAAAATAAAAATCTGATCATAATAGGCGGAGTAAGAAAACTCCATTCCAATTTTCACCCTTATTTAATAATCTAAAACTCGATATTTGTTTTCAAAATAAATTCAGAAATATTATTTAAAAAATCATAATATTGTCCAAAAAATAATATTGTGTTTTAAAATCGGAACTTTTGGAAATTGAATGAATATATTATTTTAAAATAAAATAAAAATTCGATCAAAATAGGCGGCATAAGAAAAATCCTTTCCAATTTTCACCCATATTGAATGATTTAAAACTCGACATATTGTCTCACAATTAAAATTTTTGGAATTGACTAGAGGTGAAAATTGTAATGGAGATTTCTAATTCCCCAATTCCTATGAGGTTTTTTATTTTGGTTTGAAACGATATATTTTAATTGAATTCCAAAAATGCCGATTTTGGAACAATATTTTAAATTTTTAAACTATATTTTGATTTTTTTTAAATAATATTTCCGAAATGAGTTGATTTTTTTGGAATTTACGTGATTTCGATATTATATTAAATTTTAATTAAAAATAATAATTATAAAAAATATGTTTTAACAAGATGCAATGCGTGTTGTTGAAAGTCCATTTTCATGTAGTGTTGTAAATTGAAGGCATGTGAGAGGCACATGCCATTTTCCATCCAACTTAACGGAAAAAATTAACGGCGGACCAATTCTGTAAAAAAATGGCATGATTAAGGACTACTATTGTAACTCCAAAATGTTTAGGGACAGTTTTGAAAAAGTGAGTAAAGTATGAGGACGAAAAATGTAATTTTTCCTCTTTTATAATATGTTTTGTTTTATTTCCTTCTGGTTCATATCAAATTTGCATACAATTTTTATGTCTAAATCAACTAATTATGAGATTTACCTTGTATTTTGGGTTTAACAAGATGCAATGCATGTTGTTAAAACACTTTATTTTCCTGTAATGCGATATTAGAAGTCATGTGGGTGGCACGTGCAACTTCCATCCAACTTAACTGGAAAATTAAACGGTGGACCATTTTTGTTAAAAAATGGCATCATTAAGGACTACTATTGTAACTCGAAAATGTTTAGGGACAATATCGAAAAAGTGAGTAAAGTTTGAGGACGAAAAATGTAATTTTCCCGAATAATATTTATTTCGACTGTGCATGAAATTTCCATATTTGAACTCAAAACATACAGTGACATACACACACACACTTTAGAATTAATGAATATAGAAGACCTGCAACTGCATCTAATTTTTTTTTTCTATTCAATATTATTAGAGACGATTGAAGATTGCATCAATCAAAAACAAGTTTAAATAATATAGGATTAATACCCCCTATACCCGCCATGACAATTTTTTTTGTTTAAATGAGTAGTTAACGTCAATTGAGTTTTCTTCATATATGGAGATAATGACTAATCAGGTTATGTAATCTAAATTAAAGTTTACAAAATTGCAAATCAAGCAAATCCTCAATATGTAACAAAACAAAGAATTCTTGTTAAGTAGCTTAACATATTACAATTTCATTCAAAAAATCCAAATATATTAATTAACATCTTCTCTTCGAAGAAAAACATCATTCAAAATATAAATTACATTGCATCAGATTTGTATGATGGAAAAAATTGTATTTTGGGGATTATTGAGGCTATTTACGAGTCCAAAGAGGTGTGATATTGAAGAAATTAGCCATTTGGAAAATAAGCTTATGTTCTAAAGAAGATGCAATCTGAAATTGAAGAGAGGGATTGACTCTTACGTATCATGTGCCAAGCACATGTTATTTTCCGTCCAAACTAACCAGCCAAATTGACGGATGGACGAAAATAGCAGAAAAATGACATGTTTAGGGATGAATAATGTCACTCCAACTTGTTTAAGGACGAAAAACGAATAAGTGGTAAAGTATAGGGACGAAAAGTGTAATTATCCCTATCTATTTCTTTAAGTTGATTACTTTTAGTACCACTGTGTTATACCGAATTGTTAAAAAAAACTTTCCCGTGTTATAAGTATTAGCAAATAACCCCTTCGATGCATTTTGTTTGGCACACAACTCCTTAACTAATCCGATTTTTGGGGTGTCAAGACAAGGTAGCGCCTTGTACCTAGGATCATTTGGTTATCGGTTCGAGACACCAGTAGGAGAATTGGGGAGCCAATAACTATCCTTCTTTGTTAAAAAGAAAGAAAAAAAAAAAGAAAATTACATTTTTTGTCCCTCAAGTTTGCACCAATTTTACATTTGATCATCATGTTCGTAAAAAACCCATTTGGTCCATGATGTTTCCAAAATTTAACACTTTTAGTCATTTCCGTCAATTTTCTGCTAGTACTAACGGAATCATGTGTGTGCCCGTTCATTGCTTTAACTGACAGACTAACGGTAAATTGATGGAAATGGCCAAAAGTGTTAAATTATTGGAACATGAGGGACAAAATATGTTTTTTGTGAACATGAGGGACCAAATGTGGAATCAATGCAAACTTGAGGGATGAAAACTGTAATTTGCCCAAAAAAAACCATCCAACTTTTGGGGTAAAATTTATTAATAAAATTATGCCACAAAGGGGATGCTGGGGAAAAATAAATACAGTCTTCATCCCTCAAGTTTGCACCGATTTCATATTTTCTCTCCATGTTCACGAAAAACACATTTGGTCCCTTATGTTTCAAAAAATTCAATACTTTTAGTGACTTTTGTCAATTTTCCGTTAAAACTAACGAAATCAAGCGTGTCCCCATCACTGTTTTAAGTAACGGAATAACGGTAAATTGACGGAAATGACCAAGAGTATTAAATTATTGGAACATGAGGGACCAAATGTGTTTTTTGTGGACATGGGGGACCAAATGTGAAATAGGTGCAAACTTGAGGGATGAAAACTGTAATTTCCCCGGGATGCTGCTAAAGTACTAATACTTACAATATGGGGGGTTATTTAGGAATTAAACAAAATACAGGGGTACTAAACACAATAAACCCGTGACACGAAAAGACTACATAATAATGCCCACCCACTCAGTACACACACAAAAAACACACACACTGGAAACTTGAAAAAAAAATGAAAACTCTCCCGTCCGAACAATTCCACCATCTTTCGCCTGTTTCTCCGCTCATGGAGCTCCACCCCCAATATCCTCTCTCTCTTTCTCTCTCTTCTCTTACTTTCTCTCTCATCAATTCCCTAATTCGGACTTTTTCTTTTCTTCTTCCCCCAAATTTCACTCCCCCTCTCAGATCTTATCCTTCACACACACACACACACACACACACACACACAAACGAACACCTTTCTGCAACTTCGAGAAATCAATCAAAACCAAAAAAAAACCAAAAGAGGTTATTACAGAGCCAATTGTCACAAAATGGACGAACGCTTGAAAGATTCCGATAGAACCGCGGTGGCGGGTATAGCCCACTCGCCGCCGCACCGGAAGGCCTACTCATACAGCCAGCAGCTGAGAACCAACACCGGCGGACACCAGAAGCGGTACAACAACCACCCCCGCAACCACAGCCTCGACGAGATCGACATCCTGGGCCCCGGCCACAGAAGGAACGCCTACTACGACGGCGGCGGCGGCGGCGGCGTCAATTCGTCCGACGACGAGGAGTTCTACCGGTACGCTAGTAGCAGGGAAGGCGGCGCGAGCGACCGCGTCGTGGATTACCGGCACCTGGGCCAGATCGTGGAGGGAATGGGGATGGGAGACGACGGCGCGTTTGATGAGTCTCAGCAGGCGCCGGACCAGCCGCTGCCGGAGTTTATGGCGAACGGCGGAGGTGTGGGGGTGTTTAAGGTTCCTCATAGGGCGGCGGTGCACCCTAATCGGCCGCCGTGTCTTGAGCTCAGACCTCATCCTCTCAGAGAAACTCAGGTAGCATTTTTTTATTTTATCATGTTCTATTTATCATTTTGGCACGCAAGTATTACGAAATCTAATAAACATGCATAAATTTTGTGAAAAATGTACGAAAATACCCTTTTCTTATATCTCTGACAACCAGGAGCACGAGGGCAAAATTGAGACAAAAAGAGTAATAAATGCATCGTTGAAACCAACTCTAAAAGTCACAGATAATAAGAAATAAAAGAAATTGCGAAAATTACAGTTTTCGTCCCTCAAGTTTGCACCTGTTTCATATTTGGTCCCCATGTTCACAAAAACCACATTAGGTTCATCAGGTTTCAACAATTTGACACTCTTAGTCATTTCCGTCAATTTACCATTAGTCCGTCAGTTGAGAGAGTGATGGAGACATGCTTGATTCCGTCATGACTAACTGAAAATTGATCGGAATGACCAAAAGTGGTAAATTATTGAAACATGAGGGACTAAATCTGTTTTTTGTGAACATGGGGACTAAATGTGAGATCGAGGTAAACTTGAGGGATGAAAAGTGTAATTTTCCCTAAAGAAATTCTATGTTGTTTAACTTGAAACGGGGTGGTAGTATTTTTATGACATTAACATTATGTTGCATTTCTCACGAATGGTATTGTATGTGCGACTACATTATTGGATTTATTCCTTTTAGTACATAATATACAAGATATAAATGCATTGAACTTGCAACTTCTCTCTGTTTTCTTTTCCCTCTCAAAAGGTTCCTCATTTTTTTTATCCCTTTTTTTTTTTTTTTTCTAGTTTCGGTATTCAATTGATCTATTCTTTTACGTGGGCCTCGTTTGGTTAGGGAGATTAGCCATGATTAACTAAATAAATGAACTTTGTTTGATGTTTGGTATGCCCAATAACTAATAACTTCCTGGTCGAATTCAAAATATTATGTTATCATGGCTGATCTTGCCTTTTCTTGAGCTTTTTTATCAGACCATTTCCATGGTCCAGTAATACAATTGATTTTTATTAGATTATTTAATCTTATCTTGACTAATTCTATCTTGCCAACCAAACGAGGCCTCAGAAAAATCTTCATGATTCGTGTTTATCAGATAGTCATACTAGTGTTCTTATGTTATGTTGTTGTTGAAGTAAAAGCGCAATCGAATTGAGAAAATTCCCGATTTTTATTACAGGCGGGGAAATTTTTGAAGACGATAGCCACGACAGAAACGCAATTATGGGCAGGGCAAGAATCGGGCGTGAGAGTATGGAAATATTCAGACGCGTACGAAGCAGGGATTGGTATGGTTAGTGGGAGAAAGGCTCCGAGAGGTGACGAGGATGCCGCTCCTTATTTCGAATCGGCAAACACATCACCCACAATATGTATGATGGTCGATCAAGGGACTAAGTTGGTTTGGACTGGCCACAAAGACGGTAAAATTAGGTCTTGGAAAATGGACCAAAATTTCTCCGACGGGACCACTTTTAAGGAAGGGTTTTCGTGGCAGGCGCATCGTGGCCCCGTTCTTTCCATGGCAATTTCTTTCTATGGTAAGTTCTTCTCTTACGACCACTTTTTGCTTATATATATATATATGGAAATTTACAGTTTTCATCCCTCAAGTTTGCAATGATTTCATATTTGGTCCCTCATGTTTCAATAATTTGACGTTTTGTCATTTCCATCAATTTACCCTTAGTCCGTCAGTTACGGTAGTGATGGACAAACCTTTGATACCGTTAGTTTTAACAGAAAATTGACGGAAATGACTAAAACTGTTGAATTTTTGAAACATGAAGGATCAAATGTGGTTTTTGTGAACATGGAGACCAAATGTGAAACTTGTGCAAACTTGAGGGATAAGGAGAAAATCCTAGAAGTAAAGTCAAATCAAGTCACTGAATTAATTAACTTTTTCTTTTTGTCTTTTACTTCATGTTTTGTGTCCAGGTGATATATGGTCAGGTTCAGAGGGTGGTATTATAAGGTTATGGCCATGGGAATCAATTGAAAAATCTCTTTCTCTCTCACCAGAAGAAAGACGAATGTCTGCTTTGTTAGTCGAGAGATCCGTTGTTGACCTAAGAGCCCAAGTTACCGTTAATGGAGTATGCAATATTTCTTCATCAGATGTTAAATATCTGTTATCTGATCATGTCCGAGCCAAAATCTGGGCCGTTGGATCTCAATCCTTCTCGCTATGGTACATCCTCTCTTTCATATATTTTATGCATTAATTGCATTCGGCATCCTGTATTTTCTCTAATTATTACAAAACTCCCCATGTTATTTTATTAGCGAAAAAACCCCTACGATTCAATTTTTTTAAGCAAAATTCCCCTAAAGCATCACATTTTAGGGGTTGTGTGCTAAAAAAATACATTATAAGGGTTTTTTGTTAATATTTATAACACGAGGAGTTTTTTGGCAATTCGATATAAAACATGGGTGCTAAATGTAATAAACTGTATATCCTATACACTATAGTAGAGTTTATTGCATTCAACACCCCTGTGTTTACTCTAATTGTTAAAAAAAGCATTGTTAGTAATATTAGCAAAAAACTCCCTTATAATGTAATCTTTTACAGAACTACCCCTAAATGGTAAAACCTCACCATTTAGGGGATGTGTGCTAGAAAAATTGCATTATAAAGAGATTTTTGCAGATATTAATAAACTCCACTACGATATACTTGAAAACATTATACTAAAAAAATACGTATAAAATTCAGGAACGCCCGTACAAGAGAACTCATAAAAGTATTCAATATCGAGGGTCAAATCGAAAACCGCGTGGAAATGCCATCCTCACAAGAACAAGTAGTCGAAGACGAAATGAACGTTAAATTCGTCTCGAAATCCAAAAAGGACAAATCACAAGGCTTCTTACAAAGGTCACGTAATGCAATAATGGGCGCCGCAGATGCAGTTCGAAGAGTAGCAAAAGGCGCTGGAGCATTCGTGGAAGACACTAAAAAAACCGAAGCTATATTAATTGCGACCGATGGCATTATTTGGACCGGTTGTTCAAATGGATTATTAATCCAGTGGGATGGAAATGGAAACCGGTTACTCGATTTGGCCCACCACCCTAGCTCGGTTCAATGCTTTTGTACCCACGGGTCGAGAATATGGGTGGGGTATTCGAGCGGGTTGATCCAAGTTCTTGATCTTGAAGGGAATTTGATAGCGGGTTGGGTCGCCCATAATGAACCGGTAATTAGATTAGTTATTGGGAATGGTTATGTTTTTAGTTTGGCGACGCATGGAGGTATACGCGGGTGGAATATTTCTTCGCCCGCGCCTATTGATAATATATTGCGTACGGAATTATCGGAGAGGAAAGATTTGTATACGAGGCAAGAGAATATTAGGATTTTGATTGGTACATGGAATGTTGGTCAAGGAAGAGCGACGCATAATGCTCTTATGTCTTGGTTGGGTTCTGCTGTGTCTGATGTTGATATTGTTGTCGTTGGGTTGCAAGAAGTTGAAATGGGTGCCGGGTTTCTTGCCATGTCAGCAGCAAAAGAAACTGTAAGCCCGTCATTATCCTTTGTTTTATTTTTTATTTTTTATAACAACGGAAAATTTCGGATCAGAATCTCGGTGGAATTCAGAATTTCGTTTATTTAGCCACCTATATTATATACTTAATGATATTATTATTATAAGTGTAATTTTCGGAAAAAAGTAGGATATTTTGGAAATATTTTTGGGAATTAAAATTGGATTGGAAATCGGTATCTAATATGTATTCCAATTCCGTTAAAAAAATGGAAAATCGGAAAAACCAGAAATTAGAATTCGGAAAGAAAAAACTTGTTTCAAAATTGGAAATATTTGGACCGGAATCGGCACAATTCGGAAATTATATTCGAATTTCCACCCCTAAGAATACTACATTGGCTAAAAAAATGCGTACAACGACCCTTTTGAATATGCATTTCTCGTATTTTCTTACAACTATTATCTATTTTAGGTAGGGCTAGAAGGGAGTTCTGTTGGGCAATGGTGGCAAGATCACATTGGCAAGGCTTTGGACGAAGGCTCTGCTTTTGAACGCGTGGGGTCTCGACAGCTGGCAGCCTTGTTGATCGCCATTTGGTATGTCTTCACACGAGTAGGGTCACTAAAACACTAGGAGATTTTTTGCAAATTTTACCCAGAAATATTATTCAAACGAGCTTTTATCTCGTTTTAGTCGACTTGATTATTATGTGTAGCTTTTGCATTATTTTTTCAGGGTGAGAAAAAATCTGAGGACGCATGTCGGAGATTTGGATGTTGGAGCAGTTGCGTGTGGTTTGGGTCGTGCAATTGGTAATAAGGTAACTAAAGCTAGTTTGCTTCGATCTTTATTTATTTATTTATTTTTTATTTTTTTCTTGAATCTGTTAATTTGTTGCAGCGACTCTCGAATATTGTTACGATATACTGAGTTAATTTCACTTGCAGGGAGGTGTAAGTTTACGGTTGAGAGTGTTTGATCGGATAATGTGTTTCACAAATTGCCATTTAGCCGCACATTTGGAAGCAGTTAACCGTCGTAATGCTGATTTTGATCATATTTTTCGAACAATGAGTTTCACTCGATCATCAAATTTCTTTAACAATGCTACCGGTAAGGTTTTTTTTTTTAATTTTTGGTTAGGGCAAATTGCACATCACCCCCTATAAATTTCTACTTTTCGCACTTTACCCCCTCAAAATTTTTAAAAGTGAATGTTCCCCTTCAAAATGTCATTCTTGTTGCACATTTCCCCTATAGCAAAACTCGGATGGGTTATTCATCGGAATGGAGTTTTTTGTTGCACGTTGCCCCTTTAAATGTTATTTTTGTTGCACGTTGCCCGTTAAAAACACTACTTTTTTGCACGTTGCTCCTTTAAAATGTTATTTTTGTTGCATAATGCCCTCCAAAAATTGGCTTCAGAGGCAAAGTGCAACTAAAATAATATTTCGAAGGGGAGTATCCCTTTTTTGAATTTTTAGGGGGGAAAGTGCGAAATAGGGGGTGAAGTGCATTTTGTCCCTTTTTAATTATTTTTATTTCTTTTGCTTACGGTGGATTCTCTCTCTGGTTCGTGCAGTTGGTGTTAATTCATCTTCCAATCAGCCAACCCGTGACAAAAACGTACGAATATCAGAATTTTTAAATTAAACTTTATCATTTCCCAAATTTGCACAATTGAGGCCAAACTAATTAATAGTTTTTTAAATTTAATTATTATTGTTATAAATAGGCTTCAACTGATAAACCCGATGAGGGGAGGCCTGATCTTGCTGAAGCGGATATGGTCGTATTTACGGGTGATTTCAATTATCGTCTATTTGGCATAACTTACGACGAAGCAAGGGATTTGGTTTCTCAAAGAAGCTTCGATTGGCTTCGAGAAAAGGATCAACTCAGAAACGAAATGAAAGCTGGTAAAGTTTTCCAAGGAATGCGCGAAGCACTTATCAGATTCCCTCCCACTTATAAGTTCGAAAAAGGAAAACCGGGTTTGGGAGGTAATTATTATTTTTTTTTATTCTTTTTCTTAGATTTCAAATTCGCGTGCACATGATTTTTTTATTTATTTTTATTTTTTTAGGTTATGACTCGGGCGAGAAGAAACGAATCCCAGCGTGGTGTGATAGAGTCCTATATCGTGATAATCGTACAGCTCCGACAAAAGAATGCAGCTTAGAATGCCCCGTCATCGCTTCCATAGTACAGTAAGCTTTCTAAATCTTATCTACTAGACTTCCATTCCGATTTTATTAGTAGTTAATTGCTTTATTAATTTATTATTTTTCTTCGCTATATATATAATTTAAGGTACGAGGCTTGCATGGATGTGACCGAAAGTGACCATAAACCCGTTCGATGCAAATTGAATTTGGACATTGCTCACGTTGACAAATCTGTGAGGAGACAAGAATTTGGAACAATACTTCAGACAAACGAGACAATTAGATCCAATCTCGAAGCGCTACGATTTGTTCCGGAAACAAATGTTAGCACAAATAAAATATCCCTCCAAAATCAAGACACGTTCAATTTGAAAATTACGAATAAGAGTGGAGAAGAGACTGTTTTTTATCATATTTTATGCGAAGGCCAATCCACTATTAAGGAGGAGGAAGCAACGCCGGATTATCGCCCGAGAGGTTCGCTTGGTTTCCCACGTTGGCTTGAGGTAAAATTTTCGAGATCTCAATTAAATTATTCGGTCCAATTGGATTTTTCATTGCAATTTTTGAGTATATTTTGGCCTCGTTTGGTTGGTATAAGATAAGTCGTCTTGGCTCATTGGGATAATTATGTACAAGTTCTCGCCCTAGCTAATTTTATTTTAGGAACCAAACAAGGCCTAAATATACTCCTGAAATCAATGGTATACGTGTCATGCAATTTTTTTTTTCCGAAGATGCTAATTCTAATAGGATTCATCCAATTTCCACCCCTATCATTCTGATTTCCGAATTTTCCAAAAGATTTCAAATTGAAATCGGAATTGGTTTTAGCTTCAATTTTTTTTTTCTAAATTGCTAATTTTGATCCAATCTGTCGAGTTTGCACCCTGCCATTATGATTTCCCATTCTTCCAAAAGATTTCAAATTGAAATCGGAATTGGTTTTAACTTCAAAATACTTTCAAAATAGCTAACTCCGCTCCAATTTGTCCGATTTACATCACTATCAAGATTTCCGATATTTCCAAAAGTTTTCAAATTGAAATCGGAATTGGTTTTAGCATCAAAATTCTTCCAAAATTGCTAATTCTGATCCGATCTCTCCGATTTCCATCCCTATCATTCCGATTTCCGATATTTCCAAAAGATTCCAAATTGAAATCGAAATTGATTTTCACTTCAATTTATCTTTCCCAAATTGCTAATTCCGTTCCAATTTTTCTGATTTCCACCCTTACACTATACATACTAGTTACTTACATTCCTTTCTTGTTTTTCCAATTACATAAACGTAAATTCTCGATCGACAATTATCAGGTCACACCTGCAGCAGGAATGATTAAACCTGACCAAGTCGCAGATATATCAGTACACCACGAAGAATTCCACAAATTAGAAGAATTTGTCGAAGGAATCCCGCAAAGCTGGTGGTCCGAAGACACAAGAGACAAAGAACTCATATTATTGGTCATTGTAAGAGGAAGTTGCTCCACCGATTTAAAAACCCACCGAGTAAATGTTCGACACTGCTTTTCCGGAAACTCACTCCGTATAGATTCATCAACTAATGCTTCTAGAAGATCACAAGAAGGTAGCACACACAATAGGCCATCCAATATAAGATAGCTTATAGCATTATTTTATTTTTCGATCAAAATATTTTTTAATTGAATTTATTTTTTGGGCGATATTTCAAATGGGTTATCGTCGTATTATGTTCAGATCGGGTCGTATTGTTTTTCATCGTCTGTTTATTACATCTTTATGCTGAAGGTGTGATTATTGAATATTGATCAGAAGGTACATATATATATAGATATAGTTATTGGTACGTAGGCAAATTTTGTGAGTTTAGCAATACGGCATTTTTGTCTCGTAACGAGACAATTTTCCATCATTTATGTGGATCTATTCATTCGTTAATGCTTGGAATGTATCGATGGGGCTGGAAATTTTCATTGATTGATTTTCTTTGTTTAGAAGAATTGATATTTTGATTGATATAGGTTAGAGATTTCAACATTTGAAGTGACAATACAGATCGAACCACTATAAATATTTGTGTTCTTTACTGTTTTATTGCTTTCATTTGATATGTGAAACCTGTGTCTGTGAATTCTATTATTGTCGGTTCAACTGTCGCAACAATTCGTAGTGTCTGATTGATTTTGATTGTTTTTTGGTTTAAATTCACAACAATTGTTTTCCAAACAAATCACCTTACCAACATAGAACAAAATTAAAGACACATACATAAACGAATTAAACAACAAAGATCGATATATTTTCAAATGAATAATTTTTTTTATAATATTACATAAACAGAATTAGTAAATAGACTAAAGAATAACATCAAAACCTCAATATCATAAATCAAGTTAATAATGAAAAAAATGAAATATAAGAATAACTTTGGAGGGTCAATTAATGCACGTAAAACATGTCTTTAATTACACCGCTGCTTCGATAGATTTCTCTTGTCGACGTTCTCTTTAAGAACATACTTTCTCAAACCAGGGATATGAACTTCTTTAACGTACTTTCTCCATTCTATTTTTGTTGCGTCCATGTCGAAGTTAATCTTCTCTTCCTTCGACATTTCACACAATAATTTTTCAGTATTGCCAGAATGAAACCTATCATAGAAAAAAAAAATGGAAAAAATAAATAAAGGAAGAGAACATAAATAGTTAGTATATATAATTTCAGAAAAACAATTTAAAAAATATTAAAAAAGGGTAAATTACAACTACACCCCTGAGGTATGCTAAACTAACTTTAAGGTCCCTGTAGTATTGGTAATTACAATCATCCCCTGAAACGTTGTTAGAAACCCTAACGGAATAATGCATTGGATAAGTTATTCCATTAGGGTTCTAACGGACTATTTGTTTCAGGCAGTAGTGGAGACAACATAGAGCTAGGGGGTGACATGGCTCTCCTAACATTTCTTAAATCCTTATTATTTTATATCAAATTTATAAATTTTCGTAACGGCCCCGCGGGAAACAAATATTGTGCATATCGGTCCACAGGACATGAAATCTTGGCTCCAGTAATTGTTTCAGGGGTGTGACTGTAATTACCAATACCACAGGGACCTTAAAGTTATTATAGCACACGTCAGGGATATAGGTATAATCTACCCTAAAAAAAAAATAAAAGAAAGAAGAGATTAGTATTATATACCTTGCTTTGAGAAAACCTGCAAATTCATACATCTTGCTTAAATTCTGAGCATATATAATCTTTGCTTTGCACTGCTTTTGTAGCTTTTGAGCTTCTACGTGATTTCCTCCTCCGAAACGTCGATACATTTCTTCTCGTGTATATCTCGACAAATCATCGAAATTATCAAAATACTTCATCGGAGTAATTAGATCGTCGTAGTGACTTATTCTAGTCGAACTTTCGGATTCTATCAAAGGTTGTGAGCTAAAATATTTGTACATGTATTCAAACATGTCCGAAAATCGGACAGGGTTCAAAACACTAGATGCAATTTGGTAGACGTTGAGTTGTGGCGTATGCATACAACCGTGCTTCGCGATGGCTGCAATCGTCGCGTTTACGACCATGTCCAACGGAATCTGATAATCAATCATGTTGATAAAAAAATCAATTAAATATAATGTTATAAAAAATAAGAAGAAAAATGATTTTTATTAATTTTTGTGCAAATTAATTAAACTTACAATATCAATGGGTGTATCAGGATTGCACATAAATGCAGGGAGCTGCCCTTTTCCATATGAACAAATTAGAGGGTCAAACATCCTAGAAAATCAGACAACAATAATATTTGTAAGTTATCATGTATTTATTTAATTTGTACATATAATTAATAAATATTTATTGCATTCAACCCCTATGTTTATTGTAATTGCTAAAAAACTCCCCGTGTAATTAATATTAGCAAATACCCCCTGTTGTTCATTTTTTTAATAAACTACCCCGAGAAACTCGTAGTGCATGTCAAAAAATTGCATTATAGGGGGTATTTTGTAAATATTAATAATAAGAAGAATTTTATTAGCAATTTAATATAACACATGGTATTTATTAATAATGCAAAAACTCAACATAATAATTATAATTAATTATTTAATTAACCTGTTTCCCTGAATCCAACCGGGGATCGGTTCTTTGTAGCAACTCTCGATCACCGTTGGCCTAATAATGACAACCGGTATATCTCCTCTCGTTTCATCGATTACCATTTCGCCCATCGCCTTTGTCAATTGATAAGTATTCTGCCATCCATATAAATTTGCTCTATTAATTAAATAACATACATATATAAGTTAGTATAAACAAAAACATTGAAAAACAATACTCAATTAATTTAATTTGAACTAAAAGAAATCGAAATTAAAAGATAAAAGACATAATTAATAATTACCTCTCCATTCCTAGCCTTTTCATATCCTTGGTAAAATCGCAGTCCGTAGAATTTGTGCCCGATTTCGATGCTAGGTTTAATTCATCGGATATATTAAGACGAGGAAGCGAAGATGTGGGATACGTCTCGTAAGTTTCTTTTCTTCTATTCTCCCCCATCATCATCGGATTTTCTAATATTACCCCTTCTCTTTCTCCGTTGACATATGCTATATATGAAAAAAACAAATTAATTATTCAAGTATAACCGTATAGTAAAAAATATAATCGTT